CCCAGCCCTCGCCACCGAGGCTCAAATACGACGCTGCGCGCCGAGGGGGCTGGTCGCTTGGGTAGAGCATGAGACTTCGATTGGGGCAATTAATGCCTGAATTATTATTATCTAAATTGTTTGATTGCTTGTGACAATAATATGTGAATTCCTTTAGCTTTTGAGACAATATTTTTTTTAAAAATGCTACCGTAACTTAATTTTAATATTTACTGCACAAATTATAACAAATAAACAGGTTCTCGAACCTGGGCTTCTTATCATTTTCAGGTATTCAATTTTCTAAAGTTTTAATATTTTGTCTTACGGGTATTCATTTAAAACATCTTGTTTGACCGAAAAATGTAACAAAACAGAGAACGAGAATGGAATGGAGCCCATTAAAATTAGGACCGAAAATGAACTGATATCGTTGTTTTATGACGACTAATTTTCGCATTTTGAGCAAGACATGTCTAATTTGTTACTATACAACAGCTTTTAAATTATGTATTATATTATTGCTAAACGTAGTTTAAAAAATTTATATACAAAAAATTTAATAAAAAAAAATACTTATTTTCAATGTTGAGCGGAAAGGCGTAGGCAATGCCTCAAACCATGCCACATCAATAAGATTATTATTATTATTATTATTATTATTATTATTATTATTATTATTATTGTGCTGATGAATGAGTGCTGCTGGGGGCCTCATTCGCTTTGTGCGCGGCGCGGCGTGTGGCGCCCGCCCGCGGCGGCGCGCCGCTGTTGTTCGCGCGGGCGCAAATGCGACTGCGAGGGCGCGCACGCGAAGCCACTTCTGCAACGAGCCTCGTCAAGAGCGCTCTCTTTCTCTCCCAAGAGGGAGCTGCGGGGCGTTTAGTCCCGAGGAAGAGGCCCAGGGGACGAGTGTTTGGTTGTGCGTCAGGTGCTTCTGGCTCAGTTGTTGCGAGAACGAAAAAAAATGTTGAACCATTTTATCGGTTGTCAATGGTTCTCAATTGATTCCTGAATAAACGATCGTTAGTAAACCACTGTTAAAATGAAGGTTCTTTTGCAATAACATTCAAAAATTCTGAGAATTCAAGAAGAGTTACGAATGTTTCAGCCAATGGAAAATCGGGGAGGGTGTACCTCGGCGTATGTTATTGGTCTCGTTTTATCACCTGGTTGGACAAGCTGAAATGGTTGGACTCGGCGTTCTCATTAAATTATCATACTAGTGGGAAACTAGCTTTTCTTATACGTGCTCCTTGCAGCTGGTTTTCCACCTTATTGAAAACAGTTTCTTGATTGAGGACGTTCATTTCCTGAGATGCAATGAAGGTAACATATGGACTACTCTAACTTTATTTGGACTACTCTAACTTTATATATTTAACTTATAAAAAGTTATTAGTAGGTGTTCACGATACACACACGATAGTTTGAATTCTAATAAATCAGCAGTCATATCAGCCGAAAGATAACGTGAATATATTTCGTTCCCAATTAATTGACTTATTATTTAAAATAGTAAACAAAATCTATTAGTATTCGTTTCTCTATAGAGGTGAGCATAGGCGCCCGTAGCCCAAAACAAGTGGGAACCAACCTCATTTTTTAGCCCCCTCATCCATTAAACTTGGTTTTCACTAGGCATTTTACGTATACACAATGTACAATCTATTTTTGTTTTTAGTACCGTTTGACTGGTATCATATTTGGCTCATGTTTCCACATGTTTAACTGTTTTGACCAATTTTGTATTTATATAGATATTCTACAGGTTTTATTAGTAAATATTGGCCACCTATCAATGAAACGTTCGACAGTTTCTTCACGTTTTCCTCCAAACTAGTCCTTAACACTGTAGATAAACAATGTACAATTTCCATTCTTTAAGTATATTTGGACAATTTAAAAATGTTTCAGATATTTCACTGTATTTTTAATGTAATATATTTATTATGTTTGCATGACCTTTACAAAATGACTTGTAAAAACGTGTTCAATGTCAAACATCCTTTATTATGGGGGAAACTACATGAACTCTGTACTCGGAACTCACAAATGTCTTTACAACTTGAAGAGACGCCGTTTCAAAAATAAATTTAATATAATATTCAGTAAAAATATGCATTCATTTCTATTTCTTGACAAAGATGTATTGTTTTTTAGTAAAAAAAGTCATAAATAAATAAAAAATAATTTTAATAAGTGTTGATTTTTGCGTCGAAATAACAAGCGTTTCATTTTACAACTATGTAAAATGTAAGTAAGGGATTTTTCGAATTTTTAATGGTAGATAAGGCAAAATTACCAACATGGGAACAGTACAAAAATTTTGTTAGTGTCCATGCGTGTTTCATCGCTGTAATTTTCAAAATGTAGTATACATTCTACACGTTATCTTTATCAGAAATTTAACACATGTCGAATCAGTAAAGCTCTGGGGCCCTCTACATGATGAAGGGAGTCACAACCCCCCTCCCGTGAGCACGCCTCTGGAGGTGAGTGTACAATGCATATACATGGAGTTCAGTATACTGCTTACTAATTTTTACTTACGCTCACCAACTTTGAGATGATGCTTATTTCTAGCATCCAAAATTACACAATTCACACCTATTAACTTTCCACGAGAAATCAATGAATACGGAATCGTATTAACATCATGGCCGGCCCTTCCACTTAGACACCAATCAACAACCTTCAATTATCTCCGTCTCCTCCAGCAACCATGAAGTTTCACAACACGCGAAAGTTTCAAAAATCGAACAAACAAAAGAAGAATTATCATAGTTAGTTATACCATATTAAAGAATTAAAATGTTACGATCCCAACATAATAGTAACATTTGATAGATAAATAGAAAATAACCGAGTGAGACTTTCGTGTTATAGGTCGTGTCTCTTTCAAACATTTTCGTAACACAGTCTTATTGTAAGAAAAAAAGCATATAAACAATAAATTCCATTATTTGGAGTAAGTATACTCATTCGCTATCTTTAGCGGTAACTCATTTGTTTCGATTGTTCTTAACGGACGCCGACAGGTAAGAATGCCTCTACACCCCTCTAATTGCGTGAATTCGATGTAACAGTTCAGTATTAGAAAAAAGCAGCGAGTGCGCGTGCGGTGGGGCTGGCTCACCTCGAGGTCCGGGTCCCCGGGGCGCTCCTGGTGCTGGCGGTAGGCGCGCTGCTTCTCCTCGAAGTCGCGCAGGCGCTGGTTGTAGCGCTCGATTTGCTCGCGCAGCAGGGAGTCCTCCATCTGCGCAGATACACACACGCGCAGCTCAGCGCAGCTCACCTCACGAGGCAACTTTGCTGCTCTTGGACGACATTGGACGTTGTAGTAAAGTAAAATATTTATTTTACTGCACTTGTAATATGCTCATTCTGAATTGGTTATCACTGAGATCTCCAATGATTTATAGATATAAAAAGCTAGTTAAACAAACTGATTTTTGTGAATTTTGATTTATTGGAAACTAGACAAATTATTTGACAATGTAATGGCGATAAAGACCAAATATTGACGTTTTTAACTACGTAATTCGAAGTGTTATCGTACAAGCGGTATATTTAAAGCTATTATTGTTCATAACGAAATTAAGTAACTCACTTTGCCTTTCTATAGATATTAGATTCTAATAGGTATAGATTCTAATTTTATTTTACACATCAATTCAGGTTTCATAATTCACATGCGAATTAAAATTATTTTATGAAGATTTTTTTTGTACGTTTACTTTTCTACTCTTTAGAAACAGTATAGCGCACGCAGGCTGCTATCTGCGATAGTTCAGTGACAATACCATTACCTCCGCAGCGTCGTTAAGCCGGATCACCTAGGGTTGGTGTCCCGATGATTATTGTAGACCAAAGACTTAAAACATTGACACGCCCGAAATCAATATTCACTCTCTGCAGAACCTAAATAACGACCTAATAATAAACCTAACCTAAATTCATTAGAGAATGCTTTATTCTCTTGCCGACATTTTTGCTTGTTGAACGTCATGTAGTGCAGCAAGTAAATGAGGAGCTGGTACATCGCCGAATATTGTTTTGGTGGAAAGGAGTCTGGCTGCGAGAGCCGGGGAGAAGGGGGAGGGTGCGTACCTGCGCCTTGTCCTCGTCGTACTCGAGGCAGCCGACGCCGTCCAGGCGCTCCAGGTCCACCCAGCCGCGCCACCGCACGCACACTCCGTTCATGATGAAGTGCGACCGGATGTGCACCTGCAACGCACAACACACACCCATGACCTCCACGCACAAACTTTTTTTTTCTTGGGATATAAGGCATATATTTGGGAATGTTGGCTGTGTATGAGTCACCAGTTGACGTTTCGGCTGGCATTGTGACCTTCTGCATGTCTAATGCTTTAAATGTCAATCTAATGTTTTAACACTCTCGGGTATTACTATCGAAACGTTAGAAACTATTTGTGGGTCAGAGTCTTCAATAACTATCACATGTTACATGTTATAACAATTATTATTTTTATACGTTTAATCGCCAGATTCTTAGAAATGTTTTTGGAATCGTCAGAAAAAAAAACAATTATAGACACATTATATAATTTCAATTTCTTACAGAAAAATTAATTTCGACGATACAATAATCAATATGAAAAACAATTCTTTACCGGTTTGTTTGAATACAAGTGTTGAGTTGACTCTACACGCTTCATTGGAATTTAATGATCTTGCGGAAAGCAACACCAAGCATGACTCTGCACAGTGCAGAGGTTACTCAGCACATCTAGACTTCATTTACTATGTCCTCCCTGGCCCAGCTGCGACTCCTCGCACGCGTGTTACCCTCAATTAATTATGCAAAGGAGACGAACAGTGACAGACCCTCATGTGCAACATTATCCTTGCTATGCATGTCGTGCATTGAATGAACGCCATGCACAACAAAATCCAGAAATGTAATAAAGAATAATTGAAAAAAGGCAATTATTTGAAACTGACACCAAAGATTATACCACAAAATGAATGATATGTTTTCTGATATAAGTGGTAACGTATCATTTTATCTTATTTTCGGTAACAAATCGCGACAGAGGAGAGAGTAACACATGGCTCGAACTTGATAGAGCTAAACATTGGTTATACATTTTCCAAGCAAATTTCAGAAGTATACAAAACTGATTCTTCAAATAGGTGTAACAAACTTCTCAGTCTAAAGGATATTTTACAAAAAGGCTGCAATCTGTTTATAGGCGATCATAAAACATCCCTTAATAAAACGTCGAATTACATTACAGCCTCATCAATCTTTCCTTTTCGGCTTGCATTGTGCGGAGCGATCCACTGACAGGGTGAGAGGCCACGCGGGGGTGAAGAGGCGTCAGGTCGAGCGGAGTCGGGGCCACGTCACCACCCGCGCGAACGCGCAGCTGCTGGCGAAGGCCCATTTGGCCAGCTAGAGTACTATGGTCAGGCTCAAGAAATCGGCCCAAAAATGTCAACCTTCCTTACAGGGCCTCTTGTATGTAGGTACGAAAACATTGTTCAATACGTTACGTAATTCATACGTTCGTAGAATAATATAGGGAAATATACAACAAAAATAGATGTCTACTCGTATTACAATATAGGAACACCTTTCTTGTCTTCTTTCGTTTTTCCTTTCCTCTTTACTATACGTTTCCTCATTCTGACACTTTCATTGCTTAATTAGATCGAGAATCACGTCTTATACTAATTTACTGCCCAAATTCATTCAGTGCATTAAATTAGTGATTACTCTTTTCAGTCTAATTCTCGGTGTATCTGCTCGTTCGTGCTTTTCGTAGATTAGAAATTCAGTCCCCGCGTCCTTCCAAAAGAACGTAGATTCTTTCTCAACTAAAAGTGTGTACTTAAATTCTTCCAACACGTTGATTTAACCTTTTATACTCGTGTTATTTTGACCGCATCGACAATTATCTTCATTCTCTGATCTATTTACGCATTTCCTATTTCGAACCCTAAGAAAACAAAGCAAGAAGTTCAAAATGTAAATCAGTCACTATGGATCAATACGAGATTGAGTATATATTGTACTTTATTACGATAGGCTTTTTATCAATTTCAGAACGTAGCATGAAATTTCTTACATGCGTATCCTAAAGGATTGTTCTATTCAAGTGATTCTATTCAGAATTGAACGGTGGAGCGATTTGTGTATTGTTCCAACCTTTAGCAGGTAATCCTTCCATTCGCACCGTGGTCGGGCCCGATGTGTCTGCTCGACGCCCAGGGCTGCCGCCACGGGTGATATATGCTCGTAAGCGCGCGCCGCCGTGCGCCGCCGTGCTCCGGCGCGCCGCCGCAGCCGGCGCCTGATCCCCTCGCGGGCTGTCCGCGCACGCAGAAGCCGTACACCGCCGCTCGCCTCGCAAAGCCTTTTCCCGCCTTGCTCTGCTGCCTCGCCATGTCCCGCACCTCCCCACCGGTTGCTCGCCTAGCCTAGTCTCGGCTCCGCTTTCCCGCCCCCCCCGCCCGCTCGGCCCCGCCTGGCTCGCCAGTCCGCCTCCCCCCCGCTCTACCCTGTCCTGTCCCGACCGCCGTCCACTCCGTCCCGCCTCACTCGCCCGTCGTCCCGCCGCCACGCACTCGCTTGTCATAATTCGCCTGCTCACGGCGAGCGCCGGCGGGAGCGCGGGCTGGCGAGCCGCGGGCGCGCGCTCGCGCAAAAACTTACCCTAATTTATGGACACGCCCCCCCGCGGTCGCCCCGCGCCCGGCGCCGCCCGTGTCCATCAAATTAACGCGGGCGTTGAAAGCGCCCCCGGTCACCCCCACGCCCTCCTGCCAGCCGCGCCCCCGCCCGCCGCCCAGCCCGCACCCGGCGTGCCGCGGCGCCACATTGGGAGGGAACTTTCTAGCCGCGCTATCACCCCTAGACCTGGATGTGTTCCATATCCAGGTATGAAGGCTATTGGTGGGTAATATGGGACAGATATATATACTTTACACTCTTTAGAGCTAATAATCTACTTTGCGTTCATTGATGCATTTGAAAATGTAAAGTATATTTTCTAATATTGCTACCTTCTTTCAGTGCATAAAATCTGCTTTATGTATGGACTTTTTTTCTCGATCACAATCTGATAATAAATAGGTACTAAGTCTGCGTTACAATCCTTAAGTTTACCCCAAATATGTCTATCTGTAAATAACCTTCCTGGAGGTAAATTGTTTAACTTTCTTCGTCAGAAAGGCAAATACGTAAAAACTGAATTTTTGAAAACACGTATGAAAATCGTAAGACAAATCATTTTAAATAATCATGCAAAAATATAATTGAAAATTGTTTTTCCGTCTTTGTTGTTAATCCCCTCTGGTTCTATTTAGTACTTCTCAAAACCTCTAGGAACACAATGAAATTTAACTTTTTAAATTATTTCCTCCTAATATTTTTATCCAGATATTTTGCGGTACGCAACGATTCAAGAAAATGCTTTCTCGCTATTTCTTTGAGGACATAGTGTAATCCTTTCATGCAGCGGAAATACCCATGAAATCTCGTTCGTGTTTCCCAACGACCATAGCAACGTAACAAATCGGGTCAGCGGATCGCAACACCTCATAACGGGAGCAACGACGACGCAACGCAAAAACGCCCGCGGGGCGCGGCGTCCGCGCTCTTTTGTTTCTCGCGCCGTCATTTGTCACGGCGCCCGCCCCGCCCCGCCCTCTCACGGCCCTCGCAGACCCTTTGCCACCTTCGTCGGCGCATTCGGCCGCCGCCGCCGCCGCCTTTGTACCCGAGGGCCACGGCGTGTTTGCGCAGCGCTGTTAAAGTCTGTCTTGCTGCGTTAATGATGTCGTTGCCGCCCTGTCACCTTCTATACACACGCCAGGGGGCGCCCGTGTAAACGGGGTCAAAGGCCTGCTGCTGTAGCTCGCCCGGAGGGTCCAAGCCTGGCTGGCTGCTCCGCATTTTTTTGCGCGCGATGAGAGAAATATATATTGCTTGAATTTGTCTAAGTTGCAGCCGTTTTGTTGGGGTTTTTTGTTTGTCCTTCACGGACAGTTAGCGTTCTGTCAACGAATGTCCCACCGTTTGCTTGTTCTTCCCCCTTCGGCTGGTCTCCCTCGGCCAGAACAAACATCGCCGCTGGATCTATGGAGAAGTAGACAGCCGGGGCAAAACAAACGCATATGATACTGTTCTTCTGTTTGGAGAGACGTGAAGTCAACTGGAAGACAAATAGTGCTAACCGTTCTGGAGCGAGAAACTGCTGTTACAGAAGCTTCCGGCGAAAGAAAATTCGAACATTTTTGCAGTGGTGTAATTAGTCCGCATGCTAAGTGTTATTCAACAATAAAAAGGTGTGGGAAATATTTTGGTGTAATTTATTGTCAATGAAATACACGTAATATACTTTGAAATATCGATCCGTTCACGCGTCACTCAACATGGCATACACCACTGCCATTCTTCCAGATATCAAATTTCACGTTTATTAAGATCTTAATTTTTTAAATGTCCTCTTATTGTTAGTCTTCCTAAAATATCTATGCATTATGAATAATCGAAAGTTTCGTACCTTTTTTTTTCTTCTGTGATTTGAATTTGTAGGCTTTTCAGAAGGGGTAGTGTCTGATTTAGATTGTTCGGCTAGGTGATAATTTTGTTGAAGAGAGACGTTTACCAAATAAATAATAAACATGTTACAAAATTGAGTTGTGGCTCTTTTTTCAATCTGATTAGCTGATATAAAACGTACGTTCCAAAATAGAGTTGTTTCCAATCCATCAACCATAGCTCTCCAAGACAATGGATTGTTTGTTATTTACAAGGCTATTACAAAGCAAATCTTTTCTTAGCTATTTGTGAAATATGTCTCCTGAAGATGAGACCAAATCCAATAATATGGAACATCGAGAAAAATAAGGCGAGTTAAATTTAATAAACTAGCAAATATTAATTAGAATTAATTGTTTTTATAAATTTGTTTTAAAGTAATTTCTTAAATTAATATCCCCAGAAAAAAGTAACAGTATTCAAGGGCTATCATTAATAAAGCGGGGGCCAAAGCGATTAAACTGCATTCGTTTAAAAAAGCGGCTCCGTGGGGCCCAAGCGGTTTGAGGTGTAAAAGAAACCCTTGGATGCCTGCGCATCCGCGTTTGGCTCCTCTCTCCGCTAAGGAGGCGAGGACACGAAGGCGGCCAGCAGGCAGCTCCCGGGCGTCGCGTCGCGTCGCGGCCCAGCGGCTCATAATTCGACCCCCGGC